ATAGCTGGAAGACAATCAGTATCGGGTGCATGTGGAGTGTTTGAAGTTCTGCCATAAAATATCTTAGTTTGATAAATGATGACAATAAAAAAAGGGTTGAGTTGTAACACAATCACATCTTTCTACATATGAATGATCTCAAACGTTTTGTAGTATGATGGTAACTATAGAACAACATTAAATGGATTAAATAAAACCTGAATTACCAAACAAATCGTACCAGAAAACACTGCCATTAAAAACATGTACACTCTATTTAAAATTTATTCGTAAGCTTCGACATTGGAGACTCTACTACATCTCTGACCCTGGACTCTTTTGCTGGCTCATTCTTACTTTCATTTAGGTTCAAGTTCTACAAATGCTTTCTGCACATTTAGACTGTTACGACCACCTCTGCTAGGGGCCAGGGGGAGAGTAACAGCTCTTACACAGGAATCTAACAGAAACAGGGATTTTATTACCAATTGTATAATTGAAAACCATGAGGGTTGCGCACAGCAAGCCACTGGGCAACGTTACGTACACACACAAAGGGCATTTTAGATAAGTAAATGAGGCTTGAGGAAGGGAGGTAGAATAACTCAATACAACAAACCCTACTCAGCTAACCTCGGCTTTGCACACACAGTTTAACTAGTAGGCATTCACAGCGAGTCGAAAAGGCAGACTGCGCTCTCTGTATAAAGCAGGAAGAGTGGGATCACTGGTGACGTCTGAAACCTCGCATATTACAGAATGTAACACCTGCATATGTGTAAAAAAAAAAAAAAAAGGCTTTGATTTTGCCACCCTACTTGATTTCTCCATTTGCCACCCTAAGAAAATTTCTCTAGATCTGCCCCCTTTTGGTGTCATAATAAGAGCTGACTGAATTCTCTAAATACTAACTATTCAAAGTTTCAAAGCTTCATTTCTAACCTTCTTTATTAGAAGACACTCTGGTAAGTAGATGTGGGAATCACCAGACGCCCCACAATACGACATCACAATAGGTCTCTCATGATACGATATTATTGCAACAAACAAACTAACTAACTAACATTTTGCCAGTGTTTAAAAGCAAATAAACAGAATCAGGTTTTTTTGGGGGAAAAGATGAATTTCTATAGCAGATAATTAAATAATAATGAATGCTGTATTGATCCCCGTGGGGAAATTACTTTTCCTCATTTGACTCATTCACTCAGTGAAGCAGTGGGCAGCCACTAAGCAGGCACGCAGGGAGCAGTGTGTAGGGACGGTATCTTGCTCAGGGGTACCTCAGGGTAGCCGTTCAGTGGATTAGAACCCCCGACCTTCTGATCATGTGGCAACCACTCGACCTACTGACCTATCTTATTAAAACATACTTAAAAGGCAAAAATTCATTGGGCCGTAGTGGAGTCCTAGCTGGGCTTTATGTTTGACACCCCTGATCTACAGAGACTTTACAGCTTGGAGATGTTTCATAAGGTTACGATTAGATCCCTACGGTGGCCACTAGAGACAAAGCATGTATAAACTCCAAAACACGTGCAAAATACAAAACACGTACAAAATCCAAAACACATGCAAACTCCAAAACACGTGCAAACTCCAAAACACGTACAAAATCCAAAACACGTGCAAACTGTCCTGTGGTCTCAGCCTCAGATACTTATCAAATCACACAAAGCTCTTGTAGAAACAAACAAACAAATGAACAAAATATGTTCTCCTTCATTTCTGTCAAACAAAGTTGTATGACACGTTTCCAGCAGTTAGTATCATGGTTGCTAGGCAACCTGGGAAGCACAACGGAGACTAGACCGTCCCATACAGCCCATGT